CCGCGCCACCACGCCGCCCTGCACTGTCCCCGGGCTGTCACCGGGCTGTCACCGCGCTGTCCCCGCGCTGTCCCCGCGCTGTCCCCGGGCTGTCCCCGCGCCACCACGCCGCCCTGCACTGTCCCCGGGCTGTCACCGGGCTGTCACCGCGCTGTCCCCGCGCTGTCCCCGCGCTGTCCCCGGGCTGTCCCCGCGCCACCACGCCGCCCTGCACTGTCCCCGGGCTGTCCCCGCGCTGTCCCCGCCGCGCCACCCCCGCGCTGTCCCCGCCGTACCTCGGTGGTGCCAGGGCAGGTACCAGGGGCAGGGGACAGTGGCCGTGCTGTTGGGGACAGCGTCCCCCCAGCACGCGTACAGGTCGAAGCTGCGGTTGCACACGGGTCCTGGGGGGTCACACGTGTCACCGGGGGGGTCACAGGTGTCACCGGGGCGTGGCCGGGGCGTGGCCGGGGCGTGGCGCTCACCTGGCGGGGGCGGGGCCAGGCGCAGGTGCAGCTCGCAGGCCTGGCGGTAGCGGCGCCACGCGACAAAGGTGGCCTGGGCGGAGCGCTCCTGGGGACAGCGACACGAGGGGACACCAGGGGGGACAGGGGACATCAGAGGGGACAGAGGGGACAGGGGACATCAGTGGGGACAGGGGACATCAGAGGGGACAGGGGACATCAGAGGGGACAGCGACAGCGAGGGGACACCAGGGGGGACAGAGGGGACAGACGGGACATCAGAGGGGACAGGGGACAAAGGTGGCCTGGGCGGAGCGCTCCTGGGGACAGCGACACGAGGGGACACCAGGGGGGACAGGGGACATCAGCGGGGACAGGGGACATCAGTGGGGACAGGGGACATCAGAGGGGACAGCGAGGGGACAGGGGACATCAGCGGGGACAGGGGACATCAGAGGGGACATCAGCGGGGACAGGGGACATCAGTGGCCTGGGCGGAGCGCTCCTGGGGACAGCGACAGCGAGGGGACACCAGGGGGGACAGGGGACATCAGCGGGGACAGGGGACATCAGCGGGGACAGAGGGGACAGGGGACATCAGTGGGGACAGGGGGGACAGACGGGACATCAGTGGGGACAGGGGACATCAGAGGGGACATCAGTGGGGACAGGGGACATCAGTGGCCTGGGTGGAGCGCTCCTGGGGACAGGGACAGCGAGGGGACACCAGGGGGGACAGAGGGGACAGCGAGGGGACACCAGAGGGGACAGAGGGGACAGGGGACATCAGTGGGGACAGGGGGGACAGACGGGACATCAGTGGGGACAGCGGGGACATCAGCGAGACATCAGCGGGGACAGGGGTGACAGGGTGGGACATCAGGAGACGGGGGGGACAGCAGGGACACCGGGGGACACCGGGGGTCTCACCTCCGCTCCCGGCGGGCCGGGGGGCGCCGCCTGCTGGCCCCTGCTGGCCCATGGTGGCCCCCGGTGGCCTCTGGGGGTGGCGGAGTGTCCCCTCGGTGTCCCCGTGTCACCGGGGCCGGCTCCGCGCGCGGCTCTGTCACCCGCGGGTGGCACCGACGGCGGCTGGGCCCGCCCCCGGGAGGGGCCTGGGTGTCACCGGGGGGGTGTCAATGCCACGTGGGGGGTCTCGGTGTCACCAGGGGGGGTCTCAGTGTCCCCCAGAGGTGTCCCGATGTCCCCCAGTGTCCCCCAGCGCCCCCCAACCCGGGGGGGTGATAGGCCCGCGGGGGGGCGGTCGGTGTCACCAGGGGGGGTCTCAGTGTCCCCCAGAGGTGTCCCGATGTCCCCCAGTGTCCCCCAGTGTCCCCCATTGTCCCCCAGAGCCCCCCAACCCGGTGGGCGTGCCCCCAAAACAAGAGGGGCGTGCCCCCAAAACAAGGGGGCGTGTCCCTAAGACTAAGGGGGCGTGTCCTTCCCTAAGCGGGTGCCCTCGTCCGCCAGGGGCCGCCACCCAGGGCAAAGGGGGCGTGTCCCCAAAACGAGGGGGGCGTGTCCCCAATGCAAGGGGGGCGTGCCCACAATGGGAAGAGGGGTGGGGCTGGACACGCCCAGGGTGGGAATGGACACGCCCCGGGTGGAGTGGGACACGCCCAGGGCGGGGCTGGACACGCCCAGGAAAACTCAGGACACGCCCCCACCAAAGCTGTGAATAGTACTGGCCACGCCCCTGCGGGATCTGGCCACGCCCCTGTCACGCCAGGCCACGCCCCCACGCATTAAAGCGTTTCTGTGTTCTGCACGCGGTGCCTTGAAGGGGCGGGGCTAACAGGGAAGGTGGGCGTGGCCTGTTCGGGTGTGGCCAGCGGGGCGGGGTCAGAAGCAGGAGGGCTGTGATTGGTGGGCAGGTGCTGACGGCTCTGTGAAGTGGGCGGGGCTTCCTCTGGGGGCGTGGTCACCCAAGCCCCGCCCCCTCCCCCGAAACCACCAAAATTTTATTTTTATTTAAATTTTCTTGTAGAAAACCGTTTATTTGTGCTGGGCGGGGAGACCCCCCCCCAAAATAACAACAAAATGTGAAAAACCCAAAAGTGGCTTAAAAAACACTCCGGGGTGGGGGAGGGG